ATAAAAGTCACACACATGTGAACGAGACACATAAAACGAAGCTTTAACGGAACCAGCCGTGTCTCACCTCAGCTCATGTTAGGTCGGTCAACGCAAACCGTCGTTACACCCACACCAACTTTCACCACCAAACTCTCCGCCGGAGCCGCAAACTCACCGGAAGCGTTCACACAGACGGCGTCTTTTCTTCCGCTTTAACTGGATTTACGAACATTTTCTGCAGAAAAATTCGTTTAAAGTCGAATTACAGGCAGACAGTGTCGCTGGTTCGCTGGAGATTTTTGACGAAGGTTGAAAAATGTGCTGAGCTGAGAGCTGCTCACTTCCTGTGACGGACACCGATCGGAGCGCCGCCTGCTGGATGGAGGACAAACTGCAGCTACGCTTTATGGTTGGTGAAAATCTGTTCTCGCGTTGATTACAAACTGCTCGTAAGCTATTATTGATTAGAAATACATTAGTGACTTTCTAGGCAAAAACAGCAAACTGAATTTTTCTTCCCTACATTAAATATTATTTTTCTGTGTTTCAGGGAATTTCATTCAGCTTTAAGTGTAAACTCATCAAATCATTATTTAAAACACCGGAGAAAAATCAGTGTTTTCACCCCCACGTAAACCACAGCACCTGGGGCCTCATTGATCATCAGTGCATAGAAAAGGTTCTAAATTCTGTCGTACGAATGAAATGTAGAGTGTGCGTAAGTACAAAAAAATCTGTATTTATCAAACATGGGTACGGGGGTCGTAGCACATCAGTAAGTCATCAGTGTTGTTCTTGACTTGTTCACTTTTCACAGCATTGTCTGGGTGTCTTTTGCTCCTGTCTCGTGTTCCTTTACTGAGGTCCATGTTTCAGCATAAAGTCCAGGGGCCTCATTTATCATCAGTGCCTACGCACAGATATGTGCGTAGAGCATGCGTACGAACATTCCTACACAAAGTATGGAATTTATCAACTTGTACTTATACTTAGGACTGTGAGTAAATATACGCACACCTCTGACCATGCGTAGGCACATAATCTAGCGGTAGAACATTGAAACTACAAATAAAAAGTATTCAGGGATTTTGACCACCGGCACATTCCAGTGTGAGGTTGGAGACATATGTGCCATTTCCAGCCACCACTGAGCAGGATCAAGCCGGCAGTGTTGGATGCCATAACTCCCCTGGTCCCAGCCTGCATCCAGTTCCCTTACAGCCATCACTGATGAGCCCAAATCAAACAGGGACTTAACGCCGTCGCTGGATTCCCAAACATAAGTGGAGCCATAGACAGCACCCACATCACAATCAAAGCAGCATCACTAAACGAGCTTAATTTTGTAAATAGAAAAGCGTTTCATTCAATCAACGTACTGATAAACTGCGATGCACATTTGTGGCTATCCAACGTTGTTGCTGGCGGCCTGGAGGAACACGACTCGTTCATTGAGCAGAACTGTTCTGTGGGTCTCCAAGCAGGAGCTGCTGAAGACAGCTGGCTTATTGGTGAGTGTCACAGAGTGGAGATGTTTCAGCTGGACTTTGGTTATTAACCATCTCATCTGTAGAGATCAGGGTTATCCACTGGGTGAACGTTCTGTATTAATTCGTCCTCCTCCAGTTGCATCAGTTCTCTTTTATGGACTGTGATGTGTTTTTGGCGCTGAGCTTAACATCAAACCTCTTTTTTAAATTTTTGCCGGCGATCTGTCCTCTGACCAACAGAAATAACTGCGGTGGTTTTCTTGTCCCATGCAGTGTTTTTTCTTTCGCTGCTCATCCCAACATTTCACGCACCAAACAACATTTTCTGGTTTGCTTCAACCTCGCTGACGAGTACCTCGATCTCAGTGCAGAAAAGTTCCTCTTTTTCACCCTTTTTGCCACGATGATGACGACAGGTGAGGAAAAAATAAATCTTTCCTTGTTTATAAAGAGGCGTGTTGCCCTATATGGTGATGTGGAGGCGTTCCTGAAGGCAACGTGCACGAGTATGGAGGTTAAGAGCAAGTGGGATTTATCAACGCTGATGACTTACTGATGTGCTACAACCCCTGTACGCACGTTTGATAAATACGGATTTTTTTGACTTACGCACACTCTACATTTCATTCGTAATACAGAATTTAGAACCTTTTCTATGCACTGATGATAAATGAGGCCCCTGCAGCTCTGAGGAACCAGAACATGAAAGAGGAGGAGGAGAATTCAGAGACGTTTTCTGTCAGCAGGACTCAGAACCATGAAGACCCTGGAGAAGGAACATTTCTTAACAATTACAATTACAATCTTTACAATTCTTTACAGATTTTGCAAAAATGTGTAAAAACTGGAACTGGATATGTCCACAGATGTTTCCATGATTGGAGATCATGTTGTCTCCTCATCCTGCAGATGTTGAACTATCTCCATGTTCCAGCCTCTCTAGACTTTTCCTCTGCTCTGCTCATCAGCCGTAGAAAGAAGCTCGACCATCAGATGTAGAAAGATGTTCCACCATCAGCTGAATGTATCTCCAACAGCTGGCTCCTCTGTTCTCTGGTTCTGACATTTATTTATTTATTGATCCAGTTTCATCAACCTGCCACTCTGACTTCATGTGACCAGTTCATTCTTCAAACACAACTATGTCAGTGGAGTTTTACCATTTCACTTATTTTCAGAGTTGCTTCCAGCAAACTGAATGCTTCCAGGTTTTCCAGGAACAAATGGATGAAATGTGACACGCTGCCCATCTGCAAGACCAGAGTCACAACTGGGACTGCAAGCCGTGACTATTTTCATTATTATTTTGTGGATTAATCATTCGGCTGTTTGTTCTATTAAATCCATTATTTCTGTGCAACACATCTGTTTACTTTCAATTCACTTCCAAAAACAGTTTTCTTCAGGATGAATAGAGTTGATCTTATCTTGTCTAAAATGTCAGAAAGTGGTGAAAAATGTGGATCAGTTTCTTCAAACATCTTGTTTGGACCAAAGACCTTGGGCTTCCTGTCACAGAGGAGGAAAGAACCCAGAAAATGTTCACAGTGAAGAAGCTGAAATCACAGAACTTAGACTGTTTTTTATTAAAAAATTACTCAAATGAAGGAACTGATTATCAAAATAGACGGCGATTAATGTGACAGTTTCCATGAGTCGATGAATCAGTCGCAACGTTACTGAAGGAAAGTCTGAGCTGACTTTGTTCTTTAGGTTTACATTTATAAACAGTACAAGCAGCTTTTAGGTCTGATTACACAAATAATGAACACATTCCAGATGTGTTTCCAGATGCTGTTTCTGTGAGCTCAGTCAACACACGTCTCTGCTGTACATGCAGATGATAGTGACGGGACAGATTTGCTGACATCAGAACTCCATCAGGTGAGTGTACGGCCCGTTGGTGTCCAGCTGCAGCACCTGTCTGTTTCCATACGTCCCGTGTTTCACCGTCACCTCGGCGCCACTGCCGGCTGAAGCGGCGGTGAGTTCCTTCTCACATAAGGACACGAAGGTGGTGTACAGTCGCAGCCCGTCCTCCTTGCTGATGTTGTTGTGGTACTGCATGGATCGACCTTTAACCTTCCCGCCCAGCGTGGCCTGAGGGACGATCAGAACGCTGCCGGGAAGCTCCGACACCGAGACCAGCTTCCCCGAGGACGACTCACACAGCCGGACATTCAGCAGCGTGGACACTGGACGACAGACAGGAGGACATGGCGTTTACTGACAAGACGGGTTAAACTTGGAGGTTAAATTAGTGTTCTTTAAATGTTCCTAACCCATCTTCTGCAGTATTTGTTCTGAGGCTCCTTTGAAGAAGCAGATGTAGATCACCATTCCTCTGTCGATCTAGGAGACGAGAAAACACCATCAGTGTCACTGCTGTTCTGTAGCAGCGTTAGGCTGTCACGTCTATGTCACTTCACGTCTATGTCACGTCTACATCACGTCACTTCTACGTCATGTCAAGTCTACGTCACGTCAACGTCAGTTCTACATCAGGTCACATCTACGTCACGTCTGCATCACGTCATGTCCCCATCACGTCCACGTCACGTCCGCGTCACGTCCCCGTCATATCCACGTCACGTCTACGTCACGTCCACGTCATGTCTGCGTCACGTCAACATCATGTCTACGTCACGTCTACGTCACATCATGTCTATGTCACCGTCACGTCTACGTCACGTCACATCACGTCCCCATCACGTCCACGTCACGTCACATCACGTCTGCGTCACGTCGATGTCACGTCTACGTCACGTCTACGTCACGTCTAAACCTCATGTTTACCTGAAGTGTGTATGTACCACACAGCGAACAGAAGAACTAGTCACCCTTCTAGAAGTTTTCTCCTTTTATTGCTTTTCAACATTGAATCATCTGCAGTTTAATCTTTTTTTAATGTTTTTTTTTTTTGAAGAAGAAGAATTTACAAAAACAGAATCTCTCATGTCAACATGAAAACAGATTTCTACAAACTAATGTCAATTAACTGAAAACAGAAGATGTAAAATCTGTGACTGCATCAGCGTTCTCCTCCTCCAGTCAGAGTTCAGTAGATGAACCTTCAGCTCCATCACTGGTCCTGTTGGTCTCCATCAGCCTGAACATCTGGATGCTGCAGTTTCACCTCATTCTTCTGATGAAACTGTTCAGACTCTGTCAGGTTCTGCAGGGATCATGAGTGAACAGAACCTTAAGTCCAGACACTAGTTCTCAGCTGGACTGGGATCTGGACCCTGACTGGGCCTCCAGAACTTCACCTTGTTGTCTTTAAACCATTTCTGTGGAGCTTTGGCTGTTTGCTTGGGCTCATTGTATTGATGGAAAACAAGTCTTCTCCACGTCTCAGTTCTCCTGCAGACTGCATCAGAGTCTCCACGTGTCTTCTGCTGAACTCTAGTCCAGATTTAATTAGCTTTTTTCCCCCTCAACAGAGTCTTTCTCTTTGTCTATCACAAAGCTTTGATGGTGAAGAACAGAAAACAGCTGTATAAACAGTCTCTAACATCTCAGCTGCTGAAGCTGGAAACTCTTTCAGAGGAGTCATAGGTGTCTTGGTGTCCTCCCTCACTAGTCTCCTTCTAGTACACTACAATCACTGAGACACATTCACTGACCTCAGATGATGCATTCACTGACCGTGGGACGTCTAATGTAGCTCAGCCACCTGGCTGAGTTACATTAGACTCACTCTAGAGAGGGTCAGTCTGATGGAATCACTCATTTTACATGTTATATTTTAATTAACTGTGGCTACTTTGTAAAATCTGTTATCATTTGCATTTTCTGCATATTCTTGTTCAAAAGCCAAATTTAAATTTCTATCCGCTCATTCTGGTTTTTCTTTCTTTTTGACTTTACTTTCACTTTTGTTGTAGCGGGAGGATCGTGGATTCCTATGACAAATAAACTGCACGGAATTAACATCATGATTCTCCTCATTGCTCAAACACCTGCAGTGTGCTGTCACCTGGCCGTTGTCTCACCTGGACGAACTGCGCCTCTGTTTGGTCTCCGGCCGGGCTGACCTGCAGCTGAGCCCGCAGACACTGCTGCAGAACCGTCCGGGCCGCCGGAGCTCCGTCGGTCGCAGACATCAGCGCACCGACGGACTGAATATGACCGAGAATCGTCCTTAATAACGGAGGAACTGCAGCTCCCACAGAAACTCACCTGTGATGGAGAAAAACTCGATGAATGAGCAGGAATCTCCCACCTGGTGTTTCCTGATCAGCTGATCTGTGCGGATCATCACTGCGCAGCATTTTCGCAGGTTGCCTTCTCTGTGGTTTTCCCTCAGCTTCATCAAATAATACAGACAAAAAAATACTAAAAATGTTCAGAAAATAACATACAAATTAAATTAAAGGAAGAAAATAAACTAATTTTAAATGCAAATATACGGGAGATTTTTAAAATAAGAAAAAAGTCAAAAATGTCAAGTTCAAAGACATGTTTATCAAATGTGATATTTATCCAGTTTAACCTAATTCATATAATTTAACAAGTGAGGCTCTCTTGACTACTGCTGACTGACAACATGAAGAAATGAGGCGGCAGGTCGCATACTTTGGGACGTTGAGAAAAAAACTATCAAACATGAAGAAACCATCCTTTTAAAACACCGAGACACAAGCTGCACTAAAAAGTAAGAAGTTGGTCACAAGTGCATCCAATAGATTCACTCAAACATCCATCCATCCATCATCTCCACATCTTAACCCTCACTGGGGTGATGGTGGGGGGCGGAGTCTATCCCAGCTGACTCAGGATGAAGGCAGGTTCACCTGGACAGGTAACCAGTCTATCCCAGCTGACTCAGGGGGGAAGGCAGGTTTAAAGATAAAGAAATGAATTTGGGTGTTTTATCGGATGACTTTGAAAGTAACATTTTAACTTTTTATTTTATTATTTTATTTTATTTCACATTAAAATGAAAACGATGAGCTCTGTCAGACATTCGACTTCACATGTTCTGGTATTAGTTTAAAACATGATGGACCACTTTGGACCTTGTTACTTTTTTCGTTTTTCTTAAAAAGTTAAGTGTTTTTAGATTAAAGGTATGATTTTATCTTGAAATGTAACAGTTCTGACTTTGTACTTCTTAGTTTTTACTTTATATTTTTAAAGATGCCCTTTGTGTCTTATAATTTGCACTTTTATGTTTAAGCTAATAGTTAAATTAATTTCACGTAAAATATTTTATGGTTTTCACCTTTAAAAAAGAACTTTAACTTTATAATTGTACTTTCAAAGCAAAAGTTTACTCTCAACAATAAACCGGCGACATTATTGTGTGTTCATATCTTTTCTTAAATCCACATTTATTTGACGCACTGCAAGCTTACGCATCTACGCAGCTGTGATGCGCACTGGTAATGTGCGCAGGCGTATTACGCCGCGGTGTGTCGATCTGCGGAGCTGTTAGCTGCAAACAGCTAATATGTTAGCTCATCTCACGTACAGCAAACTGTCACGTTTACTGAGAATGTGTGTGAACAAACCGTCAGTTCTCGGAACCGGTACCGAGATAAACAGCGGAGTTTCCGGCTGGCTGCAGCTGAAACGCTACCAGGTGAGATTTCTGTCCGTTTATCCACAGATTCAGCGAGCAGCGTCAAGGTAGCGTCAGGTTAGCGGTAAACATGGCAGCAGCGGAGTGTGCCCTCCAAAATAAAAGCGATACGTGTAAAATAAACTAACAAACGCATCAGAAACACAGCTGACTGTTAGAAAATAATAATTATAGGTGATCAAACGTTGTTCGTGACTGTTCCAATTGATGTGCTCTTGCTTTAATGGAATCTTATGTAAGTATTGGCCTTTATTTTGAAGCATCCAGCCGGTGTTCAGCTGGATGTGGGAACTTAACAGTTTTATTTCATCAGATTTGAGTTTATTTCAACACATAGAGCTCCAAGTCTTCAGCAAAATACACATTTTCACATCAGCGTTTCTAAATAACACATCATTGAGGTTTTCTGTTTCATATGGAGAGAGCATATTTCACACGCTTATACACGCGTGAATTGTTTTGGTGTTTACATGAATTTATTTAACAGGTTGACTCATCAACTTGTGATGTAGTTTCACCCTGTTCTTGGTTTTTATCCTGTTTTATTGGGTTCGGGTTTCTGCTGCTGTCCACTCCGGTTTATGATACACACAAACTTCTGCACTTTCTAGAGTTATTTCTAATTTTGAAAACCTTTTGGAAGGAGGCCCGACTGAAGCTTCAGTGAATCTCATTGTTGTGTCCTGTTCAGGATAAAGTCCTGCTTTCATCAGGTGTATCCACAGTTTGGTTTATTATCTGCAGCAGCCCTGAAGTCGAAGAAGATAAGAAAAAAACAAAGAGACAAGATTCTGCAAAGCGTATTTCCACCAACAGTTCAGAATTCTCACCAGAGTCCAAGTTTAAGGTGGATTTGGCCTGATCCATGTTTCAGAGACAGTCACATAAACACTGAATTCTCAGCTGCAGGTAAACTGATGAAGTGTTCAGAAACGGAGTCTGTCAGTTGTGAAGCGTTGTGTTTAAAGACTGAAACCGTCTCAGCACAGAAAATACAAATTTCACCCTAAAAACCATGAACTTATGATGATCGTCACTATAAAGGCAGGTACTGATCTGCAGGAACTGAATGATCTCTTCATCAGTCGATTAGTTAATGATAACTCTGATCACTGATTAATCACTGACGAGGCCAGAGTCACTCAGACCATCACACACTGGAATATTTGTGTGATCTGTCAAATGTCTTTGACATGAAACTCAGCATCTTTTCAAAATGTTTGTTTTGTTTTAGACAAAAGCAGATTTTTTAAGTTGGACCTCAGAAGGGTACTAAACAGACGGATTAATAGCCAGAATAAACGCATCGTGTTTGGAGAATATTTCTGAATAAAGCCATAAAATAATCTCTGTGTGTGTGTGTGTGTGTTGTGTGTGTTGTGTGTGTGTGTGTGTTGTGCATCAGCGGTCGGTGGACAGTAACGCCTTACAGGAGCGGCAGAAGCAGCAGATGGCCAGAGGTCTTCCCAAACAGAAGCCCATCGCTGGAGTCAAGCAAGTCGTCGTCGTGGCTTCAGGGAAAGGCGGCGTCGGAAAGTCCACCACTGCAGGTCCTAAAGAAGCTTGTTTTGATCTGGAACGTCTATAGAACCCTGTCAGAACATAGATTAACCTTTAAACATTTTAAACTAGTTCCTTTCAAGTATCTTGGTTTTTTTTTTACGTCACTGGAGTTTTATTTAGAATTTTCTACAAGTTTTAAAATGATTTTGCTTCTTATAGTTTTCATTCACTTGTTCAGAATTCTGACCGTGGCTGTTAGAAGTTTGCATAAAATAAAAAAATGACTTTGCATTTTAGAATTTTGTTTAAAAGGCAGAAATGTGATTAATTAATTCAGCGTTTCGTTTTATAAGGTGAGATTTTTCACTGTTTTTCTTAGAATTTTGCTTAAAGGTAAAACGAAATGTGCATCTCTTAGTTTTCACTTAAAAGTTCAGAATTTGGACCATTGGATTTATAGTTTTAGTTAAAGGTGAAAAATATAAACTAAAAAACAACTTTGCGTCTGTTATCTTTTGCTTAAAAGGTGAAAATCTTGACAAAGTCCGTTTTTTATGTGAAAGACTGAATTTGGATTTGGGGGACTTAAAAAGTGAAAATACTTTTTCATACAAAGTAAAGAAATGACGTTTGATAAAGTACAAATCTCAGTTTTTTGTGCAAACTTTGTTTGATATAACTTTGTCTTAAAGTGAAAAACAACTTTGACAGCAGGGTTCGGGTT